ATCGTGCTCAACCTGTAATGATGGCCTTGCAGCAAATCTGCGTCCCTCTCGTAACAGCTCTGGTCCTCAGACAACTCCACCAGTCCCACCGCTAATAGCCACTGGCTTACCCAAACAGCCACCACTCCCAGCTACGTCACAGTAACCTGCACCGGGACCCAGGAAGAGCAGCCCAAAGTCAACGTTGGCGAGCTCAGTAACAGCAGCGAGCTGGCCCCAACAGATTCGTGGCGTGGCTAAGATGGTGACCGCGAACAGCAGTACAAGCGGCAGTCGATTCTCAGCAGCAGGAATAACTACCCCGTTACCAACCTATGCCACTTGTTTGTAAAAACCGCAGGACTCCAACATCAGTAACCCACCGCTTAGGATCCACAACATGGGGCAGCAATCCGGTACTCAACAGGGGTARTTCGARGGTCCGCCAACCATCTTGGATTTGATCAATTCAGCAGCAATTCCTTCAGCGACAACTCCCRTACTATAGCAGTGATAGCCCGCCTTGCGTATTAGTGTCAGTCTCAGATTTCCCTAGGAACAGCTGCAGATGCCTTGCCGGCACAGCAACACCTCGCTGTGCACTCACAACCAGCTCATTTRTTGGCTGCAGCAGCGACGCCCTTCTGATCATGGCCAGCCACATGGGCGACCGCCCGCAATCAAAGTCCCGTGGTTGCCATCACGCGCCATAAGTTCGGRCAACCGYTGTAGCCGGCGGCTACGGCAYGCAATCTACCACTGTAGTTTRTCAAGGGACAACAGCCTCTGGTGTTCAGAGGCAACACTGAGAGTGAACCTCCTGCCAGGACATGACTAAGTACGTTGTCWTTTCGAAGAGGAGCATGGGCAGCAAGGTTGCAATGGACATGAGGACGAGCTCAGACACGGCGAAGACTAATAAGAAAAAAAAAYGACGTGTAGGTAGGAAGTTGGAGGCGAATCCTCCTCTGATACGTGGGAGGATACACTGGCGTAGGTAAGAACGGATCCCCTGCTGATTATACGGGGGGCTACCTTCACCTCCGTCCCTGTCCCCGGCCTCTTCTCTCATATCCAATGTACMTGTCCGACATCCSGGCCAGGTTCCTACCTTCGAACTCTCATCTAGGTGAGTATGCCAAGGCTGGGGGCGCAACACCGTAYTGCTGTGACTGAAAAGAAACACCCTTAATGTCARGTCCTGTAGCGAAGGCAGTCATTCATGGCAGAACCTCTATCATGGGGGAGGTGACCAYGACTAGCACGAGGAACCAACCTGCCACGGTTGYTAGGAAGAAGACCCCCGCTGGTGAGATGGTGGGCAGCAAGCAAYRAGATACAAAAACAAMAAAACAGTGCCTCTACGCCTGAGATGATAGGCACCTAATCAACAAKGATGACACGAACCTACAGCCAGCCTCTTCATGCAAAAGTGAGAATGAACCTGCCCCAWAGAAACGGRAAGATACACCTCGCACGCAGCAGCTACCCCCTATAGCAARAAAASCACCCACTATCTTCAARATCCGACTTCACCATCGGATTCGCCTGCCATCCAAACTGCAGAAAYGCATCTTRAATCACCAAAATCRGTYGAGAAACGACCGATCTATTCGATTTCTCASTCGAGYCCTCCTCCCTACCRCCAACTTCGCGCGCTGTTTTTCTCTTCTAACTTCACTTCTACTAACTCCCTGCTAAATCTGACCTTGGATTCGTGTTCGCCCGRGGTCAAAACCCCCSGGTCACCTCTCTCCTTTCTCGKATCCACCCCCTATTGATKKCGCTYCTACTTCCCACYTGCRCCYGAGTTCTYWACCYGSCATCTCCGTCTTCGTTRGCCTGCACCCGGCACAMCCCCTCGTCCCCGTTCATSCCTCTCCCCCYTTTTTTTTTTCWCTTCGCCACTCCCTCACTTCCCGTATCTGCTGCGACACTYAGTTTGACCGTTCAGTGTAGCCTGCCTGTTTGCCCCGCCATCTCCTCCTTCACCTTCATCTGCACCCGGCGTTGTTTCCCGTCCGGGTACACCCCCTTCTCTGCTCCTGCCGATCAGCACAGCGCCCCAGTGCTTCCCAACTGCTCACCCAGCGCCTCTACGCCTGGTCTCCGTATGAATTAGCAGCCCAGCCTTCTATGGGCTAAGAGGCTTTATAGCCCGGGCTGCTCCACTCGACTCCGCTCGCCCACGGCTGCGGGTCATCCCATACGTAGGGACCATGCTCATCTTCTCTGTATCATTCCAATTTTAATGGATGTCCCGAAGGACTGTCCCCGATAGCAGTGCCCCGGCAGTTCGTGGTGTATCCACAGAACTAGGCAGCTAAGTCTCACTGCCGGTTCCGGCACCAATACCGGGTCTCGTTCCAGATGGAGACACATTAGGAAAAATAAAAAAAAATAAAAAAAAATAAAAAAAGAAAAAACATAAAAAAAATAAATAAAGAAACCTCGGAGATTAAAATTAATAACGAAAAACGAATGAGGGAAAGGACCGTCGACACTTGACCCTTTCTCACGGGCCCGCGGCTGCGCCCCTTTAGCAAAACCAAGGGGGATAGCCTTGAGGGACCCTCAACCCCTCGATCCACTCCAAAGTGCTCCTCTGTCGCTCCGCTGCTCCGCTCGGGTCTCGATCCCAGGATTCGCCTGGTGGTTACTCAATGACGTAACCTATAGGGCTAAACCCCAGCCTGGTTGCAGCAAGTGCAGCCCTACTGATAAAGAGCAAGGGCAGCCTGCCCAGGCCTGCAAACAGTATCTCAGGCCGTCCCTCTAACTTACCGCTTGCGTCCAAGGGCCCGCAGGCACCCACATATTTCTTTGGGGGCACGGCCTCGCTAGGCTTGCCGTGCGCGTTGCCGCATCACGCTGCGGCTATGGTCGGGCTCTCCTATTCCCTCATATTCACCGAGAACTTGCCCGTTCTACCACCTTTGGGTCGAAAACGCCCCAGCTTACGCCGTCCTAGCTTAAACCTGCCATGACTTCTATTGCTGGCGGCGCATGATCAACCTAGTACCTGCGACATTTCACGTGGTGCGACCCAGAACCGTCGGTCCCCAGTGAGTCAGACAATGCTTTCCTCTCAGTCACCGCCTTACCTGGTCAATCTTTACGCCGTCCGACATTCCGACCGTGCGTGTGAGTCTGCAACCACCTCAGAACATCTAGCTTAACTCTGACCTATCCTACCGGCGTCTCATGGTCTTCCTCGACCCAGACTCGGTCAGGCTAACGCGTGCCCGCGAAGTGCACGCTCACACATTCTCTAATCAATGCAAAAGGGGACGCGCCCTCAGATATTGTCAGGCGCGCTCCCCCTGTCAGCTACAAATATGTGCCCAAATACCCTTGTAAGGGTGTTCGGGCAGACAACTTTCCGGACCTTATTAAGCGACGTCCCCGTCGCGTCGGATAATCACCGCTACGGCGTTCCACTGCTAGGGTTTCAACCTGGGTCTCCCACGTCCTGGCCTCGGAGTTAGGTGATACTTTGTTCCGTACTACAACGTACTACCCGCTCCCAGGTAGTAGGTTGGTAGTTCTCTCCCTTCGTCGTAGACCTCTGCCGGCTAACCGTTGGGTGTCCTGTTTAGTCATCGTCCCGCGAACAGGGTCATAACTTAGGACGCGGGCCCTAACCGAGACCTCTCAAAAACACAGGGCGCCTTTGGCCGCCCAAATGGTAGTGTCTACCATCTCAAATCACAACGAACGCCCAACCTGGAGTCTAACACGGGCGGCTCCAGGTCTCCATCTTGGCCCACCATGGACCGGTCGATCACGCCGAATCCACGGCCCACCGCGTTGTTATGTAGCGGTGGTGCCCTCGTTGGTTACTCAACGATAAGCAACTTTCCTAACTTGGCACCATGAAGGGTCCTGACTCTTTGACCTAGTCGACCCCAATGGCCTTCCCTCCGGCTAAACCTCTCCGGGTGGCCGACCCTTCAAGACTTAACCTTCGGTAAGTCATGGTCCCGCTGCCAAGTTGCGCCGGTCAGCGGCCCTTGTTGGGAGTTAGGTTCTACAGTTCCAGTAATGCTAAGTATAGCTCCTTAGCTTGGCCTCACCATACGTCCCTCAGACTAACCCATGTGGTCTGATACTTTCTTTCACACCAATAATCGAAGGGTCACATACCACCGCCCACGGGACTACGTAGGGGGATAGTGCGTTTGTCAACATTCCATCAAAATATCATCAATAATTCCACAGGGTCGTGCCTCCCTTACTTTGATCAGAAGCGGGTGAGGTCACACGTCTTGTTAGGGATACTCACAATACTTTCCAAGTTCCAACATAATTGCCAGAAATTTCCAATCCTGCTTTTCACAAAGTACCTGGTCTTTCCTCGTCAGACTTTACACACATGCAAACATTATCACCACTTATGCCAACTCTTTCGAGTGCCCTCGCAAAATTTCATCATTTTAAGAAGGTCCAATCAGCCATTGGACTTCCCCCTCTCATTTCTAAATCATACACAAAAAGCACAACTTTAGTTGTGATCTCTCCATTCCTCACCAATCCAGCTGGGTAAAGCGTACTATCAATGTCTCGATAATCTGAGAGCACTTTTTTCCTTTATACTTCCGGCTCCACTCGTCACTAGGACAGGGGTGCGCAAGTATAGTGGAAGGAAGCGCAGATCAGTCCACCTCGCAACATTCATTTCATCATATCATCATCCATATGGACAAGTCCACAAACCGAGAGTGAGTGTGACACACCACACACAACACAGAGACAAAGGTTGAGACTAACATATACACTCAGGATATGGGGCCTTGCAACGAACAAGGGCGCCTGTCCTCATCATAAAAATCAAGGTTATTACACAAAAAGTACAGGTATCCAACAAAAGTTATGGTACCCAAGCGCCGAAGTATCCAAGACTCGACAATAGCTGCACACACACGGGGTTTACTTAACAAGGGTATTAACACTCTGCGTCACCTCGGCAGAAGAAAAGGCAGTCAACTCATACTTAGTTTTATCATACGCACAAAGAAGGTCATCAATACTTAGTTTTATCATACGCACAAAGAAGGTCATCAAGTCTATAATGTGATATAACACCTCATTTTGGCCCAGCTCACTGATGTACATGGGTCTGATCCAATCCTCCATGTATCCCTCTATATACAAGTAACCATCAGTCAGTGAGTCAGAGACGTCTCGCATATACCAGACTTAGGCCTTTCCGGACCTTATTAGAAAACCCTACTCCTGATCACTCATGACCATTTGCAGCTGCCTATACAACTGCGCCCTCACCTTATGGGCCTGGAGTCCATTCTTATCTATCCATTTCCCTGATAACTCCCTGGTGACTAGTCCAGCGGCCTCATCTTTCAGGCTCTTCAGACAATCATCAGCCCGATGTTTGCCTCTCTTACAATAGAAACATTTTCCAGTCTTCTTCTGCATCGTCTTCTCCTCTTCCAGCGAGGGTACTGATGGCGGGAATGTCGTGACCTCGCTCGTGGCCTCCTGCTGAGGGGTCTCTGATGGAGTGGGGCAGGCGGCTCTATCTCCTTCCTGTATCACTGGACCACTCGCCCGTACCTCTGACCCAGATCCAGTGGCCCACGAGCCCAATGCCTCCTTCAAACCTGCAACCATAGGCATATCCTGAGGTATAATAGACTCCTGGCAAGCCCCCTGACCTGCTCCCAGCTCAGTCTCAACCTCAACCCTCTGAACCAGCTGCTCCTCAGCAGCCTCCTAGGTGATAGGCAACATCCTCTCATCCCTCGCAGTCTCCGCCTGCTATGCCGCACCAAGTCCCTCATGAGCTCGTTGGAGTGCCACGATAGAGGGCATCTGCCACTCAGATTTCTTCACCCTTTGCCCCCTCCTTTGCGCTCACTTCCTCAGGTTGCAGCATCTCCTTGTCCAGCAGAGGTACATCCTCTCCTTCCTGTAGATCAGCCTTCTCCTCCACTTTCTGGCTCCTGAAGGTGTCTTCTGCAGGCAGCCTCTTCATCTCGAACCCCTGGACCTCAGTCCAGTCCACCAAGGTCGTGGGAGCTCTCTGCTCAAGCTTCGTTCCTAGCTCCTTGATCCTCTTTTCCCATGCAGCTTCCTTTGCTTGAAATGAGGTCTGCTGAGTCTGCAGGTAGGCCCTTAACCCGTCATTGCCCTTACTAAGGGTCTGGTTGACCAGTCTGATTGCCTCATTTCCTGCCCAGGACTTTTCCAGCTCCACCTTCATCGCGTCCAGCTCACGGTCTTGCCATTCCTGATTCTCCTTCAGGTCCTTAATCTCTCGCTCTCATTCCACCCTTTGACCATAGGCCTTATGAGCCACCTTGGTGAGTCTCTCTCCAACCTTCTGATATGATGCCTTAGCTGCAGCGAACCCTTCCTTCATCAATCCCTTCAGGGTGAGCAAGTCTGCAACGACCAACTTCACCCCCACCTCCTGCTGGCGTGCTCCTGGTCCCTTTTGCAGCTTCTACCAGTTTGTCAAAGTTCTCTCATGCTTCTGAGAGTAAGGGAGGATCTTCTTCCTGCTGGCTGCTTACACTTTTCCCTTTTCTGTCTTTTAGGTTTACTGGCCGCTCTCCCCGCTCCATCCTCTTGTGGAGTTCTTCAAGGTTCTTCCCCCTGATTTCCGCTCTGATCTCCTGCTCTCTGGCGGCTCTTTCTTGCTTTTCCAACTCCTTTGCAGCCTGATCCTCATCCATCTCTTGCCTGGGTGACTCATGAGGCCCCTCTGGTCCTGCCTCTGTCATTGGCTGATCCTCCTGCCTCTGGGTAGACTGAGGAAGAGCCTCAGGTGCCTCTAGCTCCCTCCTCCCATGCGCCCTCTCAGATGGCTTCTCCCCTCTTTTCTCTGTCTTGTGGGAGATGTGCTCTCTTCTTCTTTCTCCCTCCTGAGACCTCGAGGAGGTGCCTCTCTCAAAAGTCCTCCTGCCTTCTGCCTCAGGCTCCTTCCTTTTTCTTTCCATGCTTCTTCTCTCCTCTGCCTGGCGTGTGGGAGTGCAGTAGTTCCTCGGTAACCGCCTGCAATCTCCCCAATGCAATGCTCTTTCCACAACGCTCCTGACGAACATCCTGATAGGCCTCCTTACGAACTAGAGGAACCCTCTCACTTTGGTCTCAGGTGCAATGTTCTGCTCGTCCGCAAACCGGTCGTAAGCCCACAAGAACTCATCCAGGTTCGTTCCATCGAACCGGATTGGCACTCCATCTTTCCCCACAGGTGATGGATGTATCCCTTCCATCTTCCTTTCGAACTCCTGCTAGGTCGCGGACTCCCGTAGATATTTGGCAATGGCCTCAGCCCACTCGCCCTCTCCTCGTACCTCTCTCCGCATCCTGGCTCCATCCCACCTGAACTCGCTGGCATGTTTCTCGAACTCGACCAAAAACAACTCCACGTTCCCTCCTCTGAAGATGGGTGGTCTGTCCTCTCCCCTGGTCCATCCTTGCACTCTCTGTCAGGCTGCCCCCTGAGGGGGTCCCACTGGCCCTACCCCTCCCTTCCCTCTTGGCATGGCTTCCCCGAATGGTGTCAAGCCTGCACAACAAGGAAGAGACAAGCCAAAGCACACAGAGTGTAAGCAGGTTCGGCACACAGTGAGAGGCAGACACATCCCTCCCCATCTAACCTAGACGCCTATACAGGCATACACATACATACCTACACATACATACGTACTATCCTAACATCATAACCTATCATATCATTCTAATGAACGTCCATACAATCTTTCTATACTGATACCCCCATCAGAAAGACATACTTAACAAGAGAAAGGGACTCTAACTTGTGAGGTCCAGGCTCATCTCGTCTCGAGCAACAATTTTCTTCAACCTCGAGCCTGACACCCAATCCTTCCAAGCGGTCCCATTCAGCTCCCAAGAGAAAGGGACTCTAACTTGTGAGGTCCAGGCTCATCTCGTCTCGAGCGACAATTTTCTTCAACCTCGAGCCTGAAACTCAATCCTTCCAAGCGGTCTCATTCAGCTCCTCAATTTGGTACGCGCCGTGCTCTCCACACCTGGTGACCCTGTATGGTCCCAACCACCTCTTGCCCAACTTTTGAGACCACTGCTTCTCCATGGATGAGTCATACAGCAGCACAATGTCTCCCACTTTGAGAGGCTCCTTCCTTAGTAGTGCAAGCTTTCCTTTCCTGCTCGACCTCTTCGTTTTCACATATCTCCTCCACCCTGATAACGCTACGGACCTCTTTCTCCTGCCACATCCGAAACATGGCTGGAGGATTGGGTGGTGCACCTGCCTCCGCTCTGCGTAAGGCCTCCTTCCTTGTGCCACCTGGAATCTTCGGGTCCAGGTGGTACCCCCACTTGTCGTACATCTCGCCATCGTAGTTGGTGCTGATCAGCCCTTCGTCCTCGTCGTTCCTCCTAACGTGGCAAAACTTAATGGTGTGGCCTTTCTGCCCACAATGCCAGCAAATGACATTCCTCCAATCAATCCTGCCTTGGCCTGCGCCTCTACCACCTTCTTGGTCTCCTTGACTTCCTGACGCGTTCCAGCCCTCGCTTCCCCCGCCTGCGGCGTTACTGCCACCATTTCCTTTGCCGTTACTTCCCCGGCCACCATTTCCTCGCCCTCGGCCCCATCCTTGGTTTTGTCCTCGTCCACCACCTTGATTGCCTTGTGAACTTTGTGGGGCTGACTGCTGAGGTTGGCTTGGCGGTGGGTTTGGGTGGCTCACTTAGTGGGTTTGGGGTCCCGTGCAGCCGCAGGAAGCCGTGCTCATTCGCGGTCCGGCACATGACCCATGCGGCCCACTCATCGGCCAGGGCGCGTAAGAACAATGCCCATGCCAACGACTTAAAGGCCCACAACCTGGCCACGGCCCATAGTGTGTTGGTGCGGCTTGACTAGGTGACTCAGGAGGCAACATGGCTACAGCTTGTGGGACATGGCCCCTCCCTGAGCCTTGCCTCCCTGTGGCCAAATTCCTTGCTTCCCTTTGAGCCTTTGTCAGCTTCTGCGGCTCGGGCTCCTCTTCCTCTTCCTCTTCTTCTTCCTCCTGCACCACCGCTTTCTTTGCTTTACCTTGGGTCTGTGGTGCCGCCATAGTTTTTCTTCTTGCCTCCTTCGTTGCTTCGAGTTGGGTCACCGCATCCTCCACCATTTTCTTGAAGTCGCGCTCATCACTCGTTGTAGCGTCTAAGGTCTTCCTTTTCTTCCTAGCCTGCCTCATCTGGAAGATGTCTACCTGGTCCAGTTCTTCGTTCATTACGCCTTTCTTTATGGCCGCCCAAATGAGCTTCTTCCCTGGAGCAGCCTTCTTGGTAAGCAAGGAGGCTTCCCAATTTTTGAAGTGCCCCAGGAAGGTAGCACACTGTTCCTCTTCTGCCAATCCAGGGACTTTCTTCGCCATCTTCTCGAATGCTGTTGCAAATGCCTCCACCGTGGATAACTCATCTCGATGTAGCATCTCCAGATCCGTCTTTGTCAGCAAGCCATCTCCTCGCTTGATCCGCCTTTGCATTTCAGCCTTAAACTCTGCCCAGTCTCCCCCTGCTCCAGCAGCCACTTTCATGATTTCTGGTCGAATTTCCCTCCAGATGTATCGAGGTAGGTACTTGAATTTATCCGCTTCCGACACCTCGGCAGTAATCTGTTCCAGGAGCTCCAGCCACTTTGACACCCTCTCCCCTTCAAAGTGGAAGATGTCAATCTTTGGTACTTGTACCCGTGCCAACTCCCTTTTTTCGAGTGCCTTGACGAAGTCTTCCAGCGTAGCGGCCGGGCCCCGCTCCATTCCATCGGCGTCCGGCATCTTCACCTCTTTCTGCTAACCAACCTGTCAGGAGTAACAAGGGGTAGACCGGTAAGCAGTCCGCCAGGTTTCAGAGGGCTCGCCCTACATCATTCTTGACCACTCTACTTCTAAGTTTAGCTAACCGCTCTACCATTAGTCGTTCACGCCCAAGATACAACCTTTAGCCGCACAATACATCGCTCAGACTTATCAGGACTTCATATACAACCCTCTTATATAAGCCAATCCAACCTATAACCTTTGTCGTTTTGCCTAGACCATCAGCCTGCACTTAACCTCGGTTCGTTCTCTTAAGGACCCCGGTAGGCAGCCGAGATCCCCGGTAACGGCGCCACCCGTCGAGCGCATCGGTCCCACACGGGGACCCTCCCGGTCGCGCCACGCAGGATAATGCAGGACTTGTCGCGTAGAGCATTTGCCGCTCCGGCCGAGTGCGTCAGCCGTACCTCTCGCGAGCCCCTACGATAGGACAGGGTCACGCGAGGGACCGCTTACCTCCACCTGCTGGAGTTGTCACCATCCCTTAGGTGGGCGTATTCTCGCTGAGCTGAACCACATGCGAAAGCTTTTCATATGCAATTGCAGAGGTGGTTCAGCCGAGGGCGTTTCTCGTTCGCTGTAGCATAGGGGGTTACGCGCGTCGAACGTCCAAAAATCGAACCCGTACGCGAATCGTCGTACTGGGGGGCTGAAGTCCCAAACGCGACTCGACGCCAGTCGACTAGGACGCACTACTCACACCACGCGCTACACTACAACACTCACACCTACCATTTATAACACACGAAACACACACAAACAAACACCACAAACAACGCCACAACACACCAACTCTTAGTCCCTTCAGTGTCCGACCCATAACTTTTGCAGCAAGAATCAGATAAGTATCGTGTGCTGGACTTTTGTATAAGGGTCGAGCGAACACATGGCTTTCACATGCCAACCAGCCATGCGGGCACACGCAATCATTTGCGCTGATGGGGTACTATGTGATACTCTTAGCCTCACGGCCCTTGCTATTTTTTAGGGTCGCGTTCGACACTCAAGTGTCGACTGACAGGCGCTTTGAGGGGTAACCTCTCGACGCCAAACAACCGCCATGTGCGGTTGAAGATCACACCCTCTTCTGCACCCTGTACAGAGGCGTTGAGTAGACAGTTATAAGCTGTCATGGCGGCAAATATCAAGGGGTTTGACTTTGACGGCCGCCACGGACTATAACGTCCAACCATGAAAATTCAAAAAGAAAAACTCACTCCAACTCTCATTAGTTTAGTGGTCTCCTAAGATGAAGGGAGGTAGGCATACCCAAACGACGCGCGCGCGGAAGAAGCCCAAAGTCCTATCCGTAGGCTATCCGAGGTTCGGGATAGTGGGGCCCGTACACGGACTCCCATAGGTCGACGGGGACTAGTCCTTCGCCCATGTGTCGCTTCGCGATACCAAAATCCGAGTTTTTCGACCATATCGCGCTTTTGGTCTCGCCACCTAACCCATAACCTTTGGTGCGAGAGTCGGCGAGTGCTGCGCGCACGGACGTAGTATAAGATCGCGCGGGCGCAGTACCCACACATACCAATTTACTATGCAGCTCTACGCGAGTATCTGCGATGGTGGCGCATTATGTGGTACCCATACCCAAATGGCCTATTCTGAGTCATGGGGTTGCGTCCGATACTCAAGCGTTGGCTGAGGCGGACGCTAAGGGGGGTAACCCTTTAGCGGGCGCATAACCGGCCTGAGGGTCTTTCCGCCTTCTGCACCCTGAGGTGTCCCAAGGGGTGCGGGGTACGACGGTCCCTAGGGCAGGAAGGAATTCGGAACGGTGGTGAGTTGTCTGGCGCACCACCAGCGACACACTAATCCTTCCGCCCGGAACTTTATCGTTCCACCAAGATAAATTCCAACAAGGATAAAACACAAACGTTATTAACATTAGTAGAAAGGACACCGTCGGGATAAGCCCTGTAGGGGTTACCCGAACGTACACTTACTTTAACAAGATAGAACAGAACAATCTCACTCAAACAATAGGGTTGTGGGGTAGTTCACTCTCACGACAGTTGTGCAGTTTCCCATCTGAATCCAACGCAACATCACTTCGCATAACTTAGATGAGACACTTTCATACATGCCTGCAATCACATCACAGAATCAAGCAAAGATCCACACACTACACGGAGTCAACTCCAACCAACCTCTTCACTCATAACCTGTGTTTTAGCCATGCAAGCCCCAACCTCCAGCCAACCAACCATAATTAAATACTAAGTACCTTTGTTAAATGGCCATTCAATACGAGTCCAGGTGAAACCTTAACAAAACAATAGAAATCACCAAGGCTAGAGCCTTTTTAGGTTAAGTGCTGAGGGTGGGTTGTGAATAAGTCCTAGACCGACGAATCGGCAACCGACCTGTTATCAGTGATAACAGACGAGTAGTCAGGCTGACCAAGTCAGACCTTCAAATAAACGCACAGGCCTGCACCACAGCACAGGTCAAAGAGATTTCACTACAGCGTTTAGTCTAAGTAGGGAGTAATCCTCCTAAGTCACATCCTAACTCCTCTACTAAGCTCCTACTCAGCTTCTAAGAGGTTCAGTAACGCCTCCCCTACTCAG